AGACTCCAGTTTATTCAAGCGTCCTCTTAAATAGCATGCCAAAAGCAGGCATACTGGCAAAAGACATCTATCATCATGTATATAGGACTGACTAGGAAACACTTCCTTTAAGCCTGGAGATGGTCCTAGAATGCACGTACACAAGTTCTCAGACTTTCTCTAAAGGCGCATCTCAGGAGTCTTGAGGTATGTCTTACTGGTCTCCTGGCACGTCCCAACATACTCCATGATGGGAATGGTGCCTAGGTTTGTTGTTAGACAAACTAGAAATCATTCTCCACTATGGCCAGGCTGTCAGGAGGTAACCAGTTGACATCTAAAAGACAATAGAAGATTCGAGCTCCTGGAATTGAGCTGAGGCCTATAACAGAAATATCATATTTGAACACCAGCAATTTCCCCTCTTAAATTAAAGAAATAAAATCTAGGCTTCTGCAATGGGACAGATGACTGTGCCTGTCTTAGGCAGCCTTCTTCAACCTACCAGAGGTTACCTGTCATAGAATCATGCATTCCATCATGTGTGTTCTGTCTTAGGCCCCCTGGAGGCAAGAAAAGCTTTCCTGTCTTTGGACAAACCAGCCTCTGTAGCAAAAAACATTAGTGGGGGATGGGGCATGGTTCAATGTCATATGCCTCTAAGCCAGTTATTCATCAGGAGCTTACCAGGAAGCTTCACAAAGCCAAACAACCTCTATGCACTCATGGTTGCAAAGATCTACTGAGAAAAGGAGCAAATGAACCAAGTTAAAATGGCATTTTGCAACTGGTGTAGGAATGTCTCGAGTACCTCTTGTTATGTCAAAGTCTGAAACTGCCTTTCAAACATCTTTTACCCAAAGACTTATAAGCTACATATCACATTCTTGTTAGAATGAGCTCTGACCTCTAGTACCCATAAACACTTGCATAGCATAGCAAAGGTTAAATATTAACAATTCCAGTATGAACATCAACCATGAACATACACTAGGAAGAATTACAATTCAGGTCAAAGGGCAATAAAAATGTTCTCATGGCTGGTGGAGTGCAAACAACTCCACAATTCTAAACTTTCCTTTTTCCTGCCTAAAGTCCAATGCTCTGTGAACTTTCTCCTTTCCTTTGCCTAAAAGTCCAATGTTCTGATTCTTGGGCTTTCTTTAATTCAGAGCTATTTGACTTTCGATTATTTTCTTGGGTACCTTAACTTAGTGCTATATGACAAAAATATCTTAATCTAAACGAATGGTATTTTCAAAGTATTTTTGGTAATGATGCAATCCAGAACTCTATGAACACATCTTCCAACATTAAGATTAGAAGAATTTGTTCTATCTGAGCTACTGTTATTCAATTGTTCTTCGTAATCATTAACCTAAGCCACAGTCTATATGGCTCTTCAATAGAAACTCATGTGTTCTGGGTGTGTGACACTTCTAAGTGTTATTTTTTATCATATGCAGTCTCTGTTTTATCAGAGTGTAAAATTTTTTATCCTAACCTTACCTATGCTATTTTTCCACTAAACTAACATCTATCATAATCCCTTATTATATTTACTAAAAACCCTCAATCATCAAAATTCTATTAAACTGACATGATTATTGCATACAATCATTGTTTCAGTTAAGCAGTGCAGGTTATGAGGAAATCATCTTCATATTAAACAATAGGTAAAAATGTCAGGGAGAACTGGATATTTCCAAGAGATGGCCGTACTACATTAAGATCAATGGGAATTTCCCTAAGCCCATTCTCACCATGTCAGATACCAGAGGGGAAAATGGCAGTGGAAAACATGCAAAGACACAGCAGTAGCAAGAAACATTCTGGTGCCTTGCCTATCTGACATTCACCCATCAGGGATTGGTTTCCTGGTAGACTGATCCCCTGAAGTAAATTGCCATCTGCTGCTACTCTGAAATGGCCACTGTAAAAAGTTTCACTAACCCAAATAGATGTGATCCCAGGGGAATCACATAAGATGGTACAGGCCTGTTTTGTGACTGGTAAGAAAATGTTAAAAATACTAAATTCCAAAGGCCTTGCACCTGATCCACATGAGGATTTCTACCATTTGATCAAGAAAGATGCAGCTGGCCACAAGCATCTTGAGGTGAACAGATTCGATAAGTATGGTAAATCCCACTGGATTTTGACAAAGAGTAGAGGCTCACTACTAAGACTAAGCAGGTCTTCCCACCCAATTGGAAATAAGAATTGCCTACGGCCTAGATCTAGTGGCATAAATTCACTTGTGGATAAAAGCAATAGAATCATTTTAAATAAAGAATATTTTTAAAAAGAAGTTAAGACAAGTGACAGCTCATGCTAGTGAGGATTTGTAATAAGATGAACATTTATCCATTGCTAGTGAAAGTGCAGTCATGATGGAAGTCAGTTTGATCTTCAGGAAAATGGATCTTGATCCATCTAACATCCATCTATACCATTCTTGGGCATATACCTAAGAATCATCCTACCACGGAGAAACTTTCTCAACCACGTTCATTGCTGCTAAGCTAATTATAGTCAGAAAGTGGAAACCACATAGGTATCTCTCAACAGAAAAAAACGAATACATAAAATCAGGTACATTTATACAATTTATATAATCCAGACCCAGAAAAACAAATAAGGTATATATTCACTTACATGTGGATATTATCTGTTGAGTTAATGACAACTAAGCTACAATCTGTAGAACCACAAGAGTAATAAAATCATGGGCAACACATAGATATTCCTAGGAAAAGGAAATAGAATAGATAGCTGTGAATAGATGGGGGGTCTGGAACAGGAGTATCAAGTGGAGAAGGGGAAGGAAGAGGGGGGCAAAGAGAGGAACTATATGGAGAAATAGTTTCAACTAAGGGTCATAATGTAGGCCTAACACATTAGAAGCTTCATAAAAGATACACAAATATGAAGGCAATTGTCTTTAGTGCTGTGAAGTAATACCATCACCAAGGCTCCTATTATAAAAGAAAGCATTTAATTGGAAGCTTGCTTACAATTAGAAGTTTAGAAAAAAAAAAGAAGAGTCAACTTATACTGCTAACAATGTCCCAGAAGCTGACAGAATAAGAGATGGTAAAGATGGAGAAAGAAACCATGAACTTTCAGTTAGCCATAGTGATCAGCAAGCATCTCCCTGCCAAAGGAGGTAGGTAACTTCAGAGAAAAATGGGAAGTGCCAAAGAGTGAATGGAAGTATGCCTAGAAAAAAGATAGAAATAAAAAAGGAACAATTGAATTTTCTTAGCAGCTCAGAAAAGCTACTAAGACTCTCCATTGAAGGAATCTGCACTGAGGGCATTGGTGATTTGGAGACTTGCTTCTTGAGTTCTTTGTAAATTTTGTAGATCAGCCCTCTGTCAGATGTGGGGTTAGTGAATATTTTTTTGCATTCTTTGGGCTGCCGTTTTGTCTTGCTGACTGTGTCCTTTGCTTTACAGAAGCTTCTCAGTTTCTGGAGGTCCCATTTATTAACTGTTGATCTCACTGTCTGTACTGCTGATGTTATGTTCAGGAAGCTGTCTCCTGTACCAGTTCCTTCAAGGGTACCACCCAATTTCTCTTCTAAGAGGTTCAGTGTGGCTGGAATTATGTTGAGGTCTTTGATCCACTTGGACTTAAATTTTATGCATGGTGATAAACATGGATCAGTCTATGTCTTCTACATGCCAGCCTCTAGTTATTCCAGCACCATTTGTTGAAGATGCTTTCTTTATTCCATTGAATATTTTTAGCTTCTTTGTCAAAGATCAGATGTTCATATGTGTGTGGGTTAAAATCAGGGTTTTCAATTCAATGTCATTGGTCTACCTGTCTGTTTTTGTACCAATACCATATTGTTTTCAGGACTATAGCTCTATAATAGAGTTTGAGGTTGGGGATGGTGACGCCTCCAGATGTTCCTTTGTTGAGTAAGGTTGTTTTGCCTATCCTGGGTCTTTTGTTTTTCTATATAAAATTGATTATTGTTCTTTCAAGATCTGTGAAGAATTATGCTGGTATTTTAGTGGGGATTGCATTGAATCTGTAGATTGCTTTTGTCAGGATTGCCAAGAAAAACCTATTCTTCATTAATATATTTCAGAACATGTTGAAGACAAGACCTCCAAAACTTTATGAAATAATACAGACAAATCTATATTCTAATTGTTCATACCATGGGATTGCAAGGCATAGAGTGTGGCTCATTATTGTTTGATTGCTGAGAGTGGACATAGGAATAATGCAGAAATATTAAACTACACAAAATATGGATGACCTATGATATTTTATTAAGAGAAAAATCACTTACATGAGAAGCCAAGAAATCTGAGAACCAAAGGTCTGCATGCTTCTCTCTAGGTCACAACTGGAACCCAAAGAGAGTCTCCTCACCCTAGCTCTTTTTATCCCCCCGCATTTTACATACCTGTGAACACACCCACATTGGTTTGGTCATCACTAGGAGTAGATAAGATCTCTCCCTACATTGGAGCCAGAAGAATTTTCTGTGAATAGATGCAGAAAATTGAGAGCGTCAACACCCACTGATAAATTTTAAGACACAGCACATGGTTATGGATGGAAAGTCTCCCCATTATCTGACACCAGTGCTCTAGCTTCTCTGAAAACTCCAGGAATATTTTCTACCGTCAGACTCACTCAGTAATATTTTTCTGTCCTTTAAATACTGTCACTTGGAAACTAATTTTATACGTTAAGATAATGTTCTGGAATGTTCACAGTATTTGCTTCTGTTCTATATGTGTTCAAGCTGGTAATTCAACTCAAGACTCCTCTCAGGGAATGACTGTGTCCTCTGTATAGGTAAAAAAATCGCATTGTTATGTCATATGGCTGCAGAAAATGTGGAAGAAAACGGGGTGAAGAGATGATAGCTTAGCCTCTTCTGCCATAACAAACGACTTCCTGTGAGCTTTGCAAAAAATCCTATGACATCTGAGACAAGTTCCAGTGAGTGACTCTTGAGGAATAGCTGAGGCAGTGCAGCCTTTCACTTCTGCTTCCATGGGGGTTTATGTTATGACTTGTATCACTGTGGAAGGATAACTAACAGACTGTACACAGTAATAAGTTGCAATATCTTCAGACTCCAGGTTGCTGATGATGAGGGAATAATCTGTGCCAGACCCACTGCCACTGAACCTGTATGGAACACCATTCCCCAAGTTGGATGCACCGTAGATCAGGCGTTTAGGAGCTTTCCCTGGTTTCTGCTGAAACCAACTTAAATAACCACTAATGCCCTGACTTGCTCTGCAAGTGATGGTGACTCTGTCTCCCAAAGATACAGACAGGGAGGATGGAGACTGGTTCATCTGGATGTCACATCTGGCACCTAGGAGGGGAGACATAGATAATTCTTAGATTATTATGCATGATAATAGAGGCCTCCCCTAAATGCCAATCAACAATAAGTGCAGTGTAACAATTAAATATCCATTTTATTTCCTTTTTACCTGGAAACCAGAGCAACAGGAGACCAAGAAGCTGAGCAGGGGCCTTCATGTTCATGCTGAGTCCTGACTTCAATAACAACAGTATAGGGTATGACTGGTATATGAAGAAGTCTTCAAGGGTGTGCACTGAGTGCATGCAAATCATTGGTATCCAGGTAGTGCTGGACACAGCTGCAAGACTTGCTTATCTCAACCTTGAAGCAAAAGCCCATGGTCCGCAAATGCCCAAGTCAGACCACATAAATGTCTCCAAAGGCTGCACTTCTTTTTCAAGTTTTAAATTTTTACATTAACTTTCAAATGTATACAAGCTCTTTTTGGAGCAATATGTTTCATATATATTGGGAGAATATAGACAAATATCCTACTGTGAGGGAAGATACAACAGAGAATGTACTATTAAATCTACAACTCGCTCAAATAATTCTGATTCATTAAAAAAACTGTTTTCCTTGTGAAGTATTTGTGAGTTTGGAGCAGTCATTTCTTTAAATTAAAAGTATAATTTATCAGGACCATTTTAATGATTTAAAAATAAGATTCTACAGCTGTAACCATGCTTACTATGGTACAAAGAGAGGAATTACACAGTAGGTGCACATATTACACCTTGATCCCAACCATGTGTTTCACTCAGAGCTCCAACCCATTTTGAAAATGGAGGTATTTTCATACTCACAGACTCGATGGGTTGCTTCTTTTCCTCAGTTTTGGATCATCCATATTTGCTCTTGTCTACCATTTACTACTATTTCCCACAACTCATCATCAGAAGGCATTGGCTAGTGATGATAAACATGAATATTTTCCAGAAAACACAACTACACAGCGCATGCTTTCTTTGTATTACAAATGACATATTTACCTTGAGCAGTAACTGGAGGCATTACCCTGATTTAGGTGACAGTCTCACTGTCCTCATTTGTGTATCAGTCTCCAAGCAAGCTAAGAAGGAGACATGATTGTGCAAACTTGTAAGACAAATATTGGAATACAGAAGATCACACATCTATGTCTTTGTCTTGGCCAGCCAGCCTCACTTATCCTCAGAAGAAGTAGAATCTATCCAGTCTTCAGCACCCATGTCCTAGAGCCTGGGAATCCAGAGGGTCTGTTAGTGACATTACTGTGAAAGAATGGACAGTGTTGCAGCCTGGGCCTGACCATGCTGATTTTCAGAGTCTGGTCTTCACTGGTGGGTGGTAACAACCACCTAGGATTAAAGCAGATTCTCCAGGATACAGGACATCATCCCCATCAGGAGAACAACACAGTAGCTCTTGGTGGAGGAATTGGATTGCTAGTTTATCTGCCTCTTCACTTCACTGTATTTCTGGTGATATCTACTAGCTCTACCTCTGCCTCTCTTTGACCTTTGAGTCTTGTAAGACAGTTCTGCCTTCTCATTTGATAGCTAAGGATATGGAGGAAGCCTTGTTCAGGACACATTAGTGGATGATAACAGGAAGATGACAGTTCCTGTCAACACAAAACAGCAAGCAAATCATTATTTTTTAGGATATCTGGGAATCTGAATTCTTACCACACCTCCTTTAGTGATATATTCAAATATGAAGGGAATTTCAGGAACATTCGAGTTCCCTTTAGCGTAGTCCCTTAGCTTGGATTAAGTAATAAATGATTTCTTCTACATTATATCTTCCTAAGAAATTGTGTGGTGATGGTGTGCTAGTGCAGAGATGCCATCTTAAAAAATCCAACAATATCTTGGTGGCACTCTGATTTCAACACATACAGTTCCTATGGCCCCTGTGGTAATGCTGCATGGGACATCAACAAAGACCTCAGCTGTAGCAGGAAGACAGATGCAGACATAGCCCTAGGCATTTTCTAAGGCCCAGATATCACCATGTCAAAGGTAGCTGTTGCATGGGAATCAAGATTCACTAGACTCACTATAGGTTAAGTGAAGTTTATTCAGCAAGAAATGCACTTACACAAGAGGTGGGTGAGCACCACAGGTTCCAGCTCCAAAGATCCTCCCAAGCTCTCCTCTGTGACCCAACCAGCCTCCAGAAAGTAAGCGTGTCCCAGACTAAATCCCACAGGATCATGTACACACCTGTGACCATGCCCAAATGGGTGTGGTCATCGCCACAAGTATGAAGTTAGAACTCTGACTACAATTCCCCTTTTAGTCTAAAGAAAAAGATTTGGACTTGATATAAAAGTACATACAAAGATAGCAAATATCAAGAGTGCACTAAGAGAAGAAAAAGTAAGAACATGCACCCTCAAGACCTATTGCCAGTGAAGCAACAAGAACAACTGGCAAGAACTACATATCCAGTCCTAGGGTAAAGGCATAGCAGTTAGATCTCTCCCTACAGATAGCAGCACAGACCAACCAATCAGTATGGCCCTGGCAGCAGCAAAAACCTCAGACACCAATATTGTCTCAGGTGACAAACTAGACTCTGAGCATCTGCATGGCCTCAATGATAACAGGAGTCATCAACTTAGACCCTGGCTCCTACAGGGCCATGATCCCAGACATGTCCCTGGGCAGCAGCCAGGGCCTGGAAAACATCAAAGCCCTGGATGGTAGCACATGCCACCAAGATCAGCATTGCTCAGTGGTGGCACAGCCCTCAGACTCCAATATGGCCACAGGTTGTAGCTGAGACCTGGTGCATCTGTGTGGCTTTCAATGACATTATGGGCCAGGAACATCACCCCAGGTGATTATTGTGAGAGACCCATGGACCTTGACATGATCCTTTGCATCAGCCCAGACCAGGATGTCATCATAGCCCTAGGTGTCAATATACCACAGTCAAAACAGTATGACCCCTGTGGCGGTGTGGTCCACATCACCAAGAACCCTGGCATTGGCATGGCACACAGTAATATAAAAAGCTAAGGACATCAACAGAGGCTTTAGTTGCAGTGGGGTCACATACGCAGACATAACCCTCACCTGCAGTGTGGGCCTGTATGTCATCATGACACCTAGAGGCAATACAGGTCACTCAAATCTGTGTGGCCACAACTGCATCATAAACCTCACACCTCCACCTTGCCTCAGGTGACAGCCTGAACCCCAGGAACTTACATGCCCTTTGGTTTAAATAGAAGCTACAGACATCAACACAGATCCTGGCTTATTGAGGGCCATAGTCACAGTCATGGCAGTACAACACATCCTGGGATCACATGTCTCCACAGCTCCAGGGGGCAGCATAGGCCACTTTAATCAGCATTGCCCTATTGTCAGCATGGCTTTTGGATACCGTCATGGACTGTAGTGACTGACCAGAGACTGGGCATCAACACAGCATACAGTGGTTACTGAAAACATGGATATCAACACAAGCCTTGACTGCTGTCAGGCCACAGACCCACACATGACTCTTGACAGCAGCTCAGGTCTGGATGTCATCGTGTCTTCTGCTAGCAGCACAGGCCACTCAGATCATCACAGCTCCAATGGTGTCATGGTCCTTTGATACCAAAATAGTCAAAGGTGACAGCCCAGACTCCAAGCTTCCTTATGGCCTTTGGTGGCAATGTGGGACATGGATGTTAATATAGATTCCAGCTGCAGTAGGGTCACAGACCCAGACATAGCCCTCGGCAGTAACTCAGGTGTAGACCTCACCATGGCCCCAGGTGGCAAGCAGGCCACCCACATCAGCCTGTTCCTTACTGAATTTGCTTCTTCAGATCTGCCTCTTTTCACAACTCATGAACCATTGTGTTTCTCTTTCTCTCCTATTTCACCAACAATACATTTGTTCAACATGATGTCACCTATCTACCTAGCACCACAAGGCACCAGGCAGGCCTGAAGATGCCTTCAGCAAGCTACAGACTGTGAGACTCCACCTGAGTGTTTCACCTACCTGAGTACATGACACCAGGCCTGACAGTGAATACCTTCAGCCAGCCCACATGTTGTCAAGAAATTCTATGTGATCTTCTCTGTGACACATTATTATCTTTCTAGGTTACAGACATACAGTGAAGTCTCCAAGATTCTTAAGGTTTCACCTTGAACCTTTAACATTGTTTTACTGAGTGTGTTTCATGTATGGTTCATTTCAGTGCTTACACTGCATATTTCTAAAGATCAAGTTTTCTTAAGTGCATGCCCTTTTCTGAATGAGTATTCCCTGTGTGGAATATTATTTTAGATGTATTTTATTAGTTTATCCTGTGGAGTCTTTTTTAATGATGCAAAAATGTGTTGCATTCTTTTATGTTGCTTTTGTTTCATTCTGTGATGTTGTGTTACCTTGCCTATCTAAAATACCTGATTGGCTTAATAAAGAGCTGAACAGCTAGCAGCAAGGCAGAAGAAAGGATAGGTGGGTTGGCGAAGGGAACAAATATGAGGAGAAATCTGGGGGGGGGGCGAAGTTCTAGGAGCTAGTGAAGGAGGAGGATGTTAGGAACCAGCTATACAGCCACACAGCCAACCATGGAGTAAGAATGAAAGTAACACATACAGAAGGAAGAAAAAGAAAAAGCCCAGAGGCAACTGGTAGATGGAATAATTGCAGTTAAGGAAAGATGGCTAACAAGGCAAGCTAAGGCTAGGCATTCATAAGTAACAATAAAACAATGTGTGACTTATTAGGGAGTTCAGTGCTGGAACCCCAAAAGAGCTGAAGAATAAACAAATAACTATAATTTCCTCTCATCACCCCAAATATTTTAGGTAAAGATAATAGAATTCAGGTGCAATCTGACCAACAGGTCCAACTGTAGAAATTGAGCCTTGCTTAATGTAATATTCAAATCAAAGAAATCAACTTTGTGATTATTTCCAATAAATAAATGCCAATTTTCTTATTACTTCATAGTGTAATTCCAACTTCTTAACATTCCCATCAAAATATGGAAGCCATAGACACACTACTGAGCAGTGCCAGACTCCATGCCTACGATGGTCTTACAAAAACCTATCCAATTTTCTGACTTGCTTTCCTTAATTTTGTATTTTTCAATAATATTTTGGTGTGTAAAACTTATTATCACACTAAATTAACACACAAAATTCTCAAAGAATTGCAGAAAAGACCAATCAATTGCATGTGTGTCAAAATATTCCCAATATCGTAGACATATCTCATCTCAGGTTTACAGATCTAAAACTCACATTTGCATTCTAG